TCAGCAACCCATGCTTGTCTCCCCGTGAAGATCCGGGGTAGAATAGGTCTTCAGCAACCCATGCTTGCCGTAAAAGCGACTATGCTTGTCGTAAAAGGCGACTAACGGGATCGGGTGGTCAGGCTCGCTGACTTGGTTGATGCATGTCATCGATCCCAATTGCGTGGATCGATGCTCATGATGTCAATCACTGGATTGTCTGGTCGAGACTCAATTATTTCCAGACCGCCGTCATATAGCTGGAATATTGCTGAGTGCGGCGTTAAAAAACAGACCAACCAACCAACCAACCAAACTGAACAAACACCCCCTTGCCAAATCACCTGTTTCCCCTCCCCCACGGCCCCACCCCTATTCAGTGATTACCGGTGGCTGCTAGGGGTGTCAAGGCAAAGATAGCCGACATATCTCCGTAGACAGGAACACTGCTGTGTCAAGCTAGAGATATGCCCTGTGTGTACCTCGTTCCCTGATCACATTTTTCTGCGATTATTCATCGATACTACACCTGAGAAAATACCAGGTAGCGAGTCATGCCCCCCGCAGAGCCGACTGAAATGGACCATGCGTCATTGAACAGTGGAGGTGATCATGCGCGCTCAACACGTGCTACTGTCACTGAGTGAGTGAGTATGGTTTTACGCCACTTTTAGCAATATTCCAGCAATATCACGGCGGGGGACACCAGAAATGGGCTTCACACATTGTACCCATGTCGGGAATCGAACCCGGGTCTTCGGCGTGACGAGCTAACGCTTTAACCACTAAGCTACCCGACCGCCCTACTGTCACTGAGAATACGGAACTTTCGTTTTCTCTTTTCGAGTGAAAATGCTTTCAAATAACGATTTTGGATGCACTATGGACTGGATACATGTATATATTATTTATAGATTAGAATACAATCATTAGCTGTGGGAGGGTTAAATATTGTTTCGGTATGTTTTCTTCTTCTTATGACAAAGTTTTGTATTCCTAGTATAACACTTAGTCAATGAAAATATGTCTTTAATTTTTTAATTTGGTTTTGAAAGGACCTTTCAAAACCTAGTTTGATCTAGACTTGCCTAGGCTTTTAGTAAAAAGAAATACCTAAAAAATATTTATTCCACAGTTCTGGTGCAGGACTAGGGTATTGAATCATTCTCTTCATATATAAAACGACTGCCCTTATGTATAATATACTACCAAAAAAGGTGTCAAGGATCACCCGATTAGTTAACACCATTATAGTTAATCTGTCATGCCATGTCATGCCATGCCTCGACATGACAGATGAGCTAGGATAATATGAAAGAATCAGGTGGTCCTGAACACTTTTAGTAGTACATAGTGTTTTTCTTGACAATCTTGAGATCATTCTGTATCTTGATCCAGTACTCCAGTAGTATTTGTCTTTTCTCCTGTGGTAATGCGATTAAAGTGTTCGCTCGTCCCACCGAAGACAGTTTATGATTTGTGAAGCCTATTCTTATTCTTTTTGAGAGTGAGTGAGTGAGTATGGTTTTACGCCGTTTTAAGCAATGTCCCAGTCATATCAAGGCGGGGGACACAGAAATGGGCCCCACATAGTGTTCCCATGTTGGGAATATTCCTTTAGCGTCCCGACCCGTGAAGATCCGGGGTAGAATAGGTCTTCAGCAACCCATGCTTGTCTCCCCGTGAAGATCCGGGGTAGAATAGGTCTTCAGCAACCCATGCTTGCCGTAAAAGGCGACTATGCTTGTCGTAAAAGGCGACTAACGGGATCGGGTGGTCAGGCTCGCTGACTTGGTTGATGCATGTCATCGATCCCAATTGCGTGGATCGATGCTCATGATGTCAATCACTGGATTGTCTGGTCGAGACTCAATTATTTACAGACCGCCGTCATATAGCTGGAATATTGCTGAGTGAGGTGTTTAACAATAAACGAACCAACCAACCGGGACTATTTTAAAATAATATTGAACCTATATGTCATTCTTCCCTTCCGTTATTTCTACATTCGTTAACTCATTCAAGGGGGATTTATTCATAATTCCTTCGGTTATTTTTCATTCGTTCAATCTCTTACCGTGGCGGTGTGGTAGCCCAGTGGTTAAAGCGTTCGCTCGTCATGGCGAAGACCCGGGTTCCATTTTCCACATGGGTACAATGTGTGAAACCAAGTTCTGGTGTCCCCGGGATGTTACTGATAGATTTGCTAAGAGTATAGTATAAACAATACTCACTCACTCACTCTTCGTTCCGTAGATATTCTTTCTTCCTTCCGTTATCACGTCATTCGTGTACTTTCATTCAATCAATCATTCAGGATGCAGATAATACATTTAATTTACATATTCCTTCCTTCTTGTTTCCGTCACCACTCATTCGTTTGTTCTATTTTCATTCAAGCTCTGTTGACACCCCGTGTCTCAAGCTATAGTCAACCACACACACCATTCCCCCAAGCTGAATGGTCGAATTCCTGTACATAATACACCTACCGCTTCCGTACAGTGCTGTCTCAATGCCTTCTATAAGTAGAAACCTCTATCGCGATATACACATACACCTATACGTGTCGCCCAATGAAATACTTAAGGCAATGTTATTGCACTAAATACCAATGCTATACTACAACAATAACCATGTTTCAAGCGTTACACGAGCTTAGTCACCGACGTGTAATTATAGTTTGAAGCATTCCACGCAAGCTTGAACTACTTTGTATAACTACAATTTCAAACTATAAATACTATTAAATACAGCTATATAACCGGCCAGTTGATATACCTTGTGTTGACGGCCGGTGTTGAATGCCTCCAGTATGCGATATAGAGTCCAGCTAGGGGACGACATTCCAGAGCGCAACACCGTACTATACGGTTTGAACCTGTTAACAATGTGAGGTGACTCAGTGCTGGCGTTAAAGCGACCGTCCCCTTGTATACTGCAACATTGACGACAGGTCCACAACCCGGATGTATTTACCTTCCGCTCGCGCGTTTTATGACATGTAAATAGTCGGCATGTCTGCATATATTACGATTTTGAATCAGGGTTATGTACGTTGAATGCGACTGTGAAACTCACGCACTCCGCACATTCGTAAATATATACAGTTGTCCCGGCAGCCTACGGCGCTATGAGCGGAATGCACTGTATTAATATCCCGCTCGTATTTCACGATTGCAAGAATCTGGCGTATTCTGGAATACACTAATGAACTGAAACTTACTGTTTTGTTTTTAGTGTCATTAATTTTTTTTTAATGAAATATTGCTCGAAATTGTGACAGAAGTGCTGTTGTGGGCGTAGCTACAGCACTATCATCCCACCCGATTATTTCAGGTACTACTGCTGCTACTACTACTACTACTACTACTGCTGCTACTACTACTACGACTACTCCAGATGAGGTGGTCAGTCTCGCTGACTTGAGTGATGCATGTCATCGTATCCCAATTGCGTAGATCGATGCTCATGATATCAATCACTGAATTTTCTGGTCCATACTTGATTATTTACAGACCGCCACCACCACCACCACCACTACTACTACTACTACTACTACTACTACTACTTCCTGAAAACTTCGTATTAAGCGTGAGTGAGTGAATGTTGTTTTATAACGCAATCATCAATATTCCATGCAGCTATACCCTGTGTCAGACTACCAAGGATCGAATCTGGGCCAGGCAAACCAGTTGTTGATCGTATGGACAACGATCCAAGTCGATGGGACACCGTGTCACACATTGTTACTATCCGTGTACGTTTAACGTCCCTGTGCGTGCGTGCGTGCGTGCGTGCGTGCATGCGTGCGTGCGTGTTACACAGTCATGGAGCACGACTACTACATATACAGGTCGGTCGGGTAGCCTAGTGGTTAAAGCGTTCGCTCGTCACGCCGAAAACCAGGGTTCGATTCCCGACATGGGAACAATGTGTGGAGCCCAGTTCTGGTGCCCCCGCCGTGATATTGCTGGAATATTGCTAACAGCGGCGTAAAACCATATCACTCACTACATATACAACTGCCATAGGGAAAACCCGTCTGTCGGATTATCATAAATAGAATGGAATTTGTACAGAACAATCAAACTGATTCCACATTGAAAAGATCTCCTAATCTTGTGCACATCGTGTAAGCCAGGAATTAATAAGCCTTGATATACCCATATCCTAAGTGTGCATACAAAACTATAGCCTATAGCCCTTCACTCGGGATACAAATCGTGACTGGTTTCCTTGCGAAAAGCTATTACCACAAACAAAAACAATCAAAATGCATCCGCATGCATGCATGCATGACTAATATCACACAGCACACTGGTTCATATAGACAATACATTTGAATTCCTGAATATATTCATGTAATTTGTAGTGACTAAATATTTCTACTATTTGTATATGGTCGAGTGCGCAGGTGCTTTAAACATCCTGAACGAGAACTAGCGTTGTAAACAACATACCGGGGTAGTGTTTACTATTGTACTTACCGAGACATGCCATCGAGCTTGTACGGTAATACCAACATGAAAAAGTAAGCCTCCAAAACAAAGATACACGGGACATTAAAAAAAACCATGAATGTGATTAATAAATATTGTTGTTCTTAGACAAAAATGTAATAATAGAATCTGACTTCCCCGTGTCTTACACAATCTACAACGCTCCGAATGTGCTTGAATGGGACATGTACTTAAAATCAACCAATCTTGCTTTGTAGGGGGCATTTACACATTGCCAACCCTGACTTACCCGATACGATTATGCATGCTTTTCTTCCCTGGAATGCTGGCGTTATACGTTTATTGACAAAATGCTATCTCTGATCGAATTCCACCGAAAGCATGTTATTATTTTCCATATTGTTTATTAGTTTTCTAGTGATGAAATACTTTCCCCCTGTTAACCCACATAGAAATGTTTTGCTATTTAGATATGCATTCCGATCTCGCGAATAGATCTATTGTCTCCTCTCATTGGCTGTCAGCATCACGTGACGTATGTTAATATCCCCAGTCAAAATGGTGGACAGTACTGTAAGAAGTGTAGGGAGACGATAGCGAATTTTACCGATGAACTATGCCAAAGGGCCGTAATGGAGAGATCCTCCTTCCCGACGGATGGGAAGAGGCGATAGATTATGACGGAAAAGTGTTTTATATTGACCATAATAATGGCCAGACTACTTGGATCGACCCGCGAGATAGGTGAGTCTAGCATGAAGTCTAACATGGTGCACTCTGTCAAGGCAGAAAGTGTGGGACGGAGTCAGACCACTGACTTTTGTTTCGGCTGTCTACACTGTGTGGAAATGGGTTTACGCCGAAGGAAGCATGTATCTTCAAAGTGCATATAATGGACTATTTATTTTGTGCTTCATTCAGTGTGTAAAATATGTGATGAGTCTTCACGAGCCAACATTCCTTTCCGTTTGAGCTAATCCCGAGGGACGTGTGGTTCTAGGTGGGAAATACAAACGGCACACAACCATCCGATCCCGGCCCGGTCAGTCGGTTATTTTCGTTTATTAGTACCGCACACGGAATACTGTTCTATATGCAGGACTTTCACTTATATGTCAGTTAATTGTATTGCATATCGCGCCAATACACATGTTGCTTTTTCTAACGACCAAGGGAATATTCACACCTCGGCGCGCATTTTACATGGAGACGGTATGGCTGTCAGGACGGGTATAAAAGTCGTTGGGATGTGACATATGACGAACGTTTCTCTCCGGGTTCACTCACACATTGTTGCATTTATTATTTACTTACCGATTATGGTGTACATGTATGATTGTCATATTACCATCAAGTGTTACATATTTCAACTATGTAAATAGTGGGGTCGAAGATAACGAAATGATGATTGTCCCAATGAAACAGTTATTGCCATCGTTTATAGAATCAACAGGTTGTGGTCTGTTAAATACTGATTTTGTGTTTAATATGGACTCATAATACCCTAAGATAATATACAGAATACTTTATTATTAGTTATTAGATCATGTTCAATGTTATACTTAATGCAACATATATTATTTGAAATAACAGTTTATGTCAAATTTAATCACAGTTTAACCACAAACTGAAACTTTGTTGCAATTTTGAAACAATGCTCCAAAAATAGTGGCTAAGGAGAAAAGGGGCTAGAAATAATACAATCATACCATGGGAAATAACCATCTGATATGGCTGCTCCTTTCAAGTATATTATTTCACAAATTAAGTGTTTATGGCAACAATGAAACACTTTTGAAACAGGAAAGTAATGCTATCTGGTGAACAGTAGAAAGTAGACCACACTACACACTACAAAGGTGACCCCTCTCCCTCTACAGACCAATTTCCTTTCTCCAACTTCCTATGTTGTGAACCTGTCAAGAGCCTCGCTACAATAGAAGTAGAACACTCTCGAGAATGTCCTGATTCATCATGTGAAATGCTTTAGACAGTGTTAATTTTAATTACTGTTGGAATGTGTTTAGCTTGTCATATTCTATCCATTGTAGGTAGTGATAACAGTGTATTCAGCCTAGCTTGGCAGGTAACAAAGGCACCACTACGCTGAGGTGTTAAGCCTGGTGTTTCTTCCCAAACAATCCTTGATTTAATTATCGGTATGCCTGTCTCAAGAATGTACAATATGTGTATAAAATAGCTCCCCCCAAGGCACAATTCTGAAACTGTTCAACCATAACAAACATGTTCAACCTGATAAGAGCCTTGTAATTTACAAGTGCTGTATTTACAGATATTCAAAAATATTCAAAAAATCTTTTCAATGTTGATTTTTTAAAGATTTAGAATGTGAAAATAATAGTGTTGTGTTAGTGAGTGCCTAATATTTTATTTTGCTGTCACCAATAATATCACACAAACTAAAAGTTGGCAGGGATTTATCTAGACTTGCTCAAAGCCGGATATTTTGCACCAAGTCTGCAGAAAATATTATTAAAAATTTCCAAACTAGATATACAAATTTCCGAATTCATGTTAATATGTTTAAATAATATCTTGTTAGCTGATTTTAGGGCTTTGCAGGGGTAGCCGGTTTTGCTCTGATATAAGGACCAATAAAAAGGAAGTTTTAATTCTTTATCTTATGTTATTCACTATTTCTTTGATTACCTTCTCAAAGTACAGTGTTAAAATACCCCTGAATTTAAGAAATTACAAATTTTATAAAATTCCAATTTTGAGCAAAATAATGATAGGTTCCTAATTTGGTTGCCGGGGCACTGAGTTTAGAATCCTGGATAAATCCTGGTAAGGATATTATTATTTCGCTGGCAATGTAAATAATCGAGTCTGGACCAGACAAACTAACGGTACAGTAGGAGCATCGATCCACATATCTGGTACAGTTACACATTAAGCCATGACCAACCGGCCCCCTTACCACAAACCTCAATACTGCCTTGGATTGGAAGTTTTGGCCAAAAACAGTGTGTAACAATGTGTAATAGGTGATTGATTGGAGCAGCTTATTATGACAGTATTTATGATGTGAGGCCAACACTGAAGTGACCTGTGGTCCTTGTACGCTTTGGTGTCAAGTTTAGCACCATTTTTATTTGGACAATGATGTTTAATCGGTGCATTGAAGTAGCTTGGTTTAAAGTTTGATTATAGCATCTGGCGGGGTCATTGTGAAACAATGTAACATGCATGGCATTTTTGTGTCATGTCAGTTTTCAATTCTGGCTGAATATGTTCAAGTTAATAAAAGGGATGTTTGTTTCGTGCCCTGTTGCCATTCAACCACACAGCACAGTGTTAAGGCTGATCTGTGATTGTTAGTATAAAATGAATGGAAGAGTGTACTGTAATTTGATTGGTTGAAAAATGAGATTATGTCTCGGAAATCTGCCCTTTTTTCACTTTGTTGAATATTTTCTGAGATTATTATTTTTAATCAAAATATATGAAAAGGTGACAGTTGGCTTTGAGAAATGAACACCTTTTTGTTATGTTTGAAGTTTCATCAAATGTAGAAATAGCTAATTGATAAATTCTTTATTATACTGTAATAGTGACGGTTCAGTCTAGATCCTTATACCATTGTCAAACACGTCTTGCTTGAGAATGGTATGAGGATCTACATTGAAACATCGCTATCACAGTGTTATAAAGAAGTTGTTATCCACAGACTTTTGTCTACTTTGTCAGCCGTCAACTTCTGAGGAATGCCTTTTGTATGACACCACACATTGTATCATGATGTCATAGCATTCCAGATTGAGGTCCTGTCAGTCTCATAAAGTTCACTAAAGACAGTGCTTCTGAAAACTTTGTTAATTTGTTTAATGCTGCACTTAGCAATATTCCAGCTATATGATGGCGCTCTGTAAATAATCAAGTCTATCTAATGATCAATATTGTGAGCAACAGTCCACAAAGTATGATAATTCGGCATCAACCAAGGCACTGTGGCTGACCACCCGATTTATTAAGTCGACTCTTACGAGTGTTTAATGCCACACTCAGTAATATTACAGCTATGTGATGGCTGTAAATAATTAGTCAGGGATTGACATCATGAGCATTGATCCAAGCAATTGGGACACGATTGGGACACGATGACATGCGTAAGAAGTGACAAACGGGATCGGGTGGTCAGGCTTGCTGACTTGGTTGATGCATGTCATCGTATCCCAATTGGGTGGATCGATGCTCATGATATCAATATGGCTGGAATATTGTTGAGTGCGACGTTAAACAACCAAACCAAATGATGACATGCATCAACCAAGTCCACGAGACTGACCACCCATTCCTGTTGGTCACCTTCTTATGACAAGCAAGTTGTTTCTGAAGACCAATCCTATCTTCCTTTCATTCTTTGTTTGATGTTTAACAGCGCACTCAGCAATATTCCAGCTATATGATGGCGGTCTGTAAATAATTGAGTCTGGACCAAATCCAGTGATTTATGTCATGTCCATCAATCTACGCATTTTAGATACAATGACATGCATCAACCCTGTTAGTCGTCTCTTACGACAAGCATTGTCGCCTTTTAAAGCAAGCATGGGTTGCTGAAGACCTATTCTAACCCAGATCTTCATGGGTTGCAGAACACTAATGATAAGTTTTAATGTTAAGTTTTCTTGTGTAAAACGTCAAGAGATTATGTGCCATCAGTTCCAAATGATGTTACTTATCATCAAATACTCAGTAACACCAACAAATATGGAAGCTCAATGTTGACCTAAATGGCCATAAATTTGGGGTTATCAGTATTTCAAGTTCGCAGTTCTCTATATTTTGTCCTGAACTGATAATACTTATTTAAAACCAGTTATCTACAAGGAGTGAGCTAACAAATATTACCAAGCCGATTTTCCATGTTAACACATGCCAGGAAATGTCAGTAAGCATTTACCAAATTTGAGTGAATTATTTTGGGTTGTGATAATTTTATTTCAATATCAGTGTTTTCTTTTCCACCAGTAATGAATATGTAACTTATTCAGGATCAATGAAGAGGTAGGGCTTCAGGAACTTGTTTCCGTTAGTTTCATAGATAGCTATGCCAAGATACTGCTGAATTTAAATAGAAATTTAGGAAAAAAGGAAGTTTTGGATTTTTCAAACTATTGGGCAAAAAATGCCTTCTTCCCAATTTGCAAATTTGGCAGTTTGTTGGAACTCGAAGATAAATCCCAGAATATTGGACTAACTGCAGTCATGTCCTGTACATGCTGTGCTTGAAATGCTGTGTTTGCTGATACTTGGAACAATCATCTGACAATCATACCATTGAGTATCACAGCAAATACAATCATTCCATTATCTTAGGGTCCCTTATTTCCAAGTGCAATTATTTCATTAGCATGCTCCAAATGTCATATGGGAACCGCTTTGGTCTGTGAGAATACAGCTGTTTGAATTAACCCTCTACTCATCAAATAGCCATTAACACTTGGGCACCAACTCAATTACAGGCAGTTTATGTTCTTACATCATCAGGTGTGACCAGCAATTAGCACTAATTGGTATTTGATGACGCCTAATTAGCAGGTAGCTGGATAACTCATGACAGTTGTTTCCTGGAGCTCGGTACATTTATGGAACATTTTTGTCAATTCCGTTCTTCCTTTTCTGAACATGTCCATAATATTTTGAAAGTTTAAGTTATATATACTTACTGGGGCAGTGGGTAGCTTAGTGGTTAAAGCATTGGCTAGACATGACGGAAA